TAGCAACAATGCTAAAATATATAAATAATTTATATTTAATATTTATAAAAAAATATTATATAATAAATATATACATAAATGATATGTTATTTATGATACATACAAAAAACAAAGCTGGTAGTCAGATTTTAATTTTTATTTATGCATTTTTAAGTCACTTGCCCGTTTTTGTGCGTACACACATACATACTCGTATATGTATATTTACCTGCACATACGCACACACTACCGCGCATATTATTTTGCTCTTTTGTGCGTGTATTTGTAAACAGCCCGTGCACAGAGAGCCAATAATTCATATATAATTTTCGCAACTTCATAAAAACGGCATAAATTATTATTATTTTATTACCAGCTGACATATGTGCGGTCCAACGAAGGTTGAACGAGAAGGAGCGGTAAGAGGGGCAAGCGTGGTAAATAGCACTAACAAATGTATGAAAGCTACACGTAAACGAACTGCCAGGGAATTAAGCGAATATCGGTCAGAGCGCAAGCATACAACGACAACAACAACAACAACAGTCCCATATGGACATTTTTGTATATGTATGTGTGTTGCCGTTCAATGCACCAACTTCCGGTTATATAGGACATCACCGTTATATTTATGCTTGTAGCTCTGCGCACCACTCTCTATTTGCCACACAGCACGATCCCGCCCGCAGGCTTAGCCGTCTATTCAGTTCTACTTATGAATTTCCACGTGAAAATCTCCACACAGAGAATTTCGGATGAAAAAACAAAACTTTATAGCAAAAGGTTTACTATAAATTTGAATTTAAAATGTATTTTTGTTTTTTGTATGTGTGTGTGTGTGTGTGTGTGTGTGTGAATATCCACTTTCCATGTTTGCCTGAGTCGCATTAAAAGCGATTGTATACACATTATTTGCTGTGGCTTTTTCCATTAAATATTTATTTAATTAGCCAAATATAAATATTTGATGGCGCTTTGTTCGTTTAAAAGCACTGAAATATGGACAATGAGTAGAATTTACAATTTTTATATTCACGCACAATTTGCGAGACTTTGTGAACAAAATTTTTGGATTTTTGAAAAAAAATAAATTTTTTCGTGATAAAATTTTCCCACGATTTTCTTAGGCATATTTGTTTGGAGGAATCAGATTCTTGATAATAATTTCGATCATTTTCAAGCCACTCTGAGATGTAAATTTTTTCACAAAAAAACGACTATATTTTGGGTAGCCAACATTTTGTCAAAAATCAAAATTTTTACTAGTCTTCAATCATTACTTGTATACATGTATTATAATAATAAATTTTTTTTTTTTGGTTTTTGAAGTTGATATATTTTTAAGCAGAAAAATTCTGCTCACCACGTGACAGCTTTTTTCGGAGATCGGCTACGGGATCAAGGGACTCCAAAGTATTTCATAACTGATTGTCGAATAATAAAGTACCTTAAATTCGGTAAATGTACATTATTTTTATTTATTTATTCAATAAAATGGCTATTCAGAAAAAAAAATATTAAAAAAAAACGATTTTTCTTACTTACAAGTGGATATAACAACTTAAAGGACCACTTCCAATGTTTAAAATATTTCTGATAATGGTTTTTCGGTAGTGACTTCAGTTCTTTTATAATAATTGTGGAGCTGACCATAGCTTACACAAAGCTTGGATATCGGACTATTAGTATAGTCAGAGTATAGCAATTGTAATATTAAGAAGGAAATGTGAGAAGCCAAACGATTTTATATGATGAATCCATAAATACTCAAACTGAGTTCCAAATTTTGGCAGGTAATATATCAATATAATTAACTTTTGAAACTAAAAAAAAGTAAATTCTCAAATTTGTTTGTGCAGTCAAATTAAGGATTATATTATTGTAGAAATCGATGTATATTCACATTATAGTTTGTTTTTATATTTTTTATTTTATATGCACACATTTTTATCTCATTGGTTGCTTTAAAATAATATATATCGATGTATCAACATATAATATATTTTCCCATTAATTTTTATATCACACATTAATTTGCTATATAATCGTACATACATATACACAAACTTATATAAGCGATTTGTATAGCGTATCAATCCACTTTGTGGAAACATTAAAATGTTGCTTGATCTCATTTGAGTATAGGTCAGTACAAGAGAAAATATTGCAAAAGCACATCTGTTTATAATTTTGTATGTACCATACATGCAATGAAGCTGGCTTTATATTTGATTTTATATTGCTTTTCAATTTACGTTGAAATGTTTTATTCAAACTTTATACGCACACTTATGTATATTTCATATGTCTATAATATAATCAATTTCAACATAATTCAAACAATGGTTTTCATATTTTATATTTTCATTGTTTCCAATTTATTTTAGTAGCACTAATTAAAAGTGAAACTTTTTGCTATGAAGTTTATTTCAACATTATTTTGCCAAATGACTTCATACAATTTTGGTGAACCGATTTTTTTTTACATTTTTTATTTTTCATAATTTCATCAATAAAAATTAAATTTAAAAATAACTGCGTTATCAGAAATTAATTAAAAAACAAGTAAAGAAGGGCTAAGTTCAGATTTAATCGAATATTTTATACTCTCGCAAACGTTATACTCATTTGAGATTTCTTTATATATTTCGCTTGATTTGCATAGTGGAAATTGAAAGAATCAGATGGAATTTAAAGTTGTGCTATATGCGAAGACGGCGTGATTGTTGTCCAATTTTTCACAGTGCGTGATAGGAATGGTTGGGTAACCTTGTGGCGCATTTATTCTGTGAGTTTTCAACATAACTGTATGAAGGCGTGCTAAAAAGACTTATTACCAGCTAGTTTTGTTGAATTAGCTTCAACGGTTTAAAAAATATGTTCCTCAAAACTTTTTAGGGTTAGCGCCACTGCCACTAATAAAAATAAATGTTTACCAACAAGTGTCTCTTGTTACTGCGATACCTTATCCCAAATTAAAGTTATGTATCTTAATTTAATGCTCAGTTATGACAAGTATTATGCTCTGTAGTAAGATGTTTTGAGAGTATAATAATTATAATCAACTGAATTATTATATTTGCTCGATTTAATTTCGGTGATATTTTTCGTGGCATTTTGTGTCTACTATTCACCACATCCTTGCTTGCGATTCTTTAAGCAGTTCTTATCAAAAACTAAATTTTTTCTAGTTGGACTTGCCATAAGAGATTATGTTCTCACAACATTGATGTGGCATAACTACTTGTTATCTCATCTCTATTTGATTATCCTAGTATATGTGAGTTTTACCAGTTGTTTGCTCGATTTGCTACTCTTCAAGGCTTGTTGAATCAAAAACACTCACGATTAATTATTACAGCTAGCGAATTCGAATAGCGAATAAAAAGGAAACTTATCAGCAATTCTCTATAAGTAACTAAAGACTGAGTATCGAAGATGAAATATGAAATCTGTTGCATTTACTAGTATAATTTAGACTCTGAAGAAACAATTTTTTACGGAACGCCTTTTTGAGAACAAGTCGGAAATTCATATCAACACATAAAAAACTAATTTTCAAGTCTTTATTCGTAGTAAGAAAGGAAAATTTTTTTACTGTTGAAGAACAGATATTAGCTACTAACACTTAACGACGCTAATAAAACACCTCAAAATCATCTCAAAAATGCGGAAAGGTTTAGAAAAATTTTAAAATATGCCATACATATATAATCGATAAAAAATATAAGGTAATAAGTACAGTTGATCAATAAGAAAATAATAATATTCAAAGCAGGACATTACATCTAATAGCAAACTGAATGCTTTAAAGGGTTATATCCACTTGCAAGTCAGATTTGTTATTATTTTTTTAAAGACATTTTATTTAAAAAACATTGGCAGAATTAAAATAAAATTTGGATTTTCTTGATCCCGTAGCTGATCACCGAAAAACAGTGTCGGGTGGTAAGGAAGATTTATTTGCTTAAAATTGTCTCAAATCCAAAAACCCAAAACATTTATTACTACCATAGATAAATATTTTCGATAATATTATCAAAACACTTATTCCTTCGATCCATAACTGGTAAATATATCTAAGAAGGGCGTGTGAAAATTTCAAGTCGTTCAGTCCAGCCGTTCGGAGAAATTTCTCTCATCGACTTTTGAAAGCCGATTACACTAATTTAAAAGTTCTCACAAATATATTTCTCCATTCACCAGTTGCCGGATCAGCTTCAAATTTTCGTAGAAAATTCTTAAATATTATATGTACATAAAAATCGATTTTTTGAAATTCGCAATCGGATATAACCCCTTAACCTAGTAAATCTTTTAATTCGAAAAACATAGAAAATCTATGCCAATGATGTTGACTGACACTTCCTAGGAATTCAGTATGCATTGTTTTCCAATAAATCTCATGTAAGCGCCCTCGTAGCGGTACGTAGTTAATTGTAGAGGCACCAGCACGGAACTAGCAAATTTCGCAAAAAATCTTTTCGTAAACAAATCTTTTCGTCTCTTCATAGAGCAAGCTCAAACTAAGAGAACAAATCGCTATATATAAAAAGATCAAACATGCCACTCGTCACATGTTGCTTTGCGACTAATCGCGATTCATCCCGATTGTGTCACATTTCATGAAGGGGAGTAAAGAGTGTGCATATGCACTCATTGACATACTGACTGATTGACTGTCTACAACCGATACTAACGTTAGAATATTTAGACGCAAATCAATGAGGAATGTTGGCAGTAAGAAAGCCAGCTGTCAAATATTGCTACTATAAACATTAACTTAAGCATGCCTACCATGCATTATAAATATATGTATATGAGAACTAACATCTTACAATTAAACACACACACACACAAGCAAAGAGAGTAATCTTGGCAGTTGTGTCTGACGGTTACTAAACCTCACTAGCGCGCATTTGTTTTTGCTTAACACACACTCATTTCTAAATACATATGTATATAAAAGTATATATGTTTGTGTATCCTATATTTGTCTTTGGTGAAATTGCAGCACTTACCTGCCATTAGTTTGCCGGTAACATCAATCAAATCATTCTGGCAAGTCAAGTCCACGGCCGTGGCATAATTGTAGTAGGAGAATTTCTGGCAGATTTCAATGAAATTAAATTCCATCCATGCACGTTGATAATCAATGAAATTGAAATCTTGTAGCAACATTTTCAATGTGTAAATTATGCCGAACTGTGGAGCGCCCACGTGTGTGGATCGATTGGTGGGTTGCATGTAAGTAAATATAGAATTGGAGAAATTGAGTGGCGGGCATTAGAGTATGACTACAAATACGCATACGCATACTCATACGTAGGGCACACGTAAATTCTATTAAAAATTAAGTCGGGGCAAACAGCATAGCATAGCGTAGAGTTTAACAAATTATTTCGAAAATCGTTGCATATCTTTTGGCGCTTTTGGAATTTAAGCAATTTCACATTTTATTCTACACGTAGGTGTATTTACAGTTATAAAATTTAAGCTGAATCTCTTTAGTTGTATTATTTTATTTACAAACGGTCATACGTGTATGAACAAGTGATAAATCACTGTGTGAATTGCAAGCAATTCGGCAGTAATTGTAGCCTCAAAATATGCAAAACATTTCCGTGGCGCAAAAAGTTAGATTTATTTAGTATTTGGTTGTGTTCGCGCCGTTTCACTTGTATGCCAACATTTTTTACCATAAATAAAAGCAAAATGAATCAAGTAAGTAGTTATGCAAACTATGTGTAGTGCTTTAAAATAATATTTTTGTGCTTTCTACTCATCTATGTATTTATAAATATTTACATTTTTCGAGTTTTTGTCAGTGATGCTTTCGCAGCTATAAGCAGATAGAAATATAAACATTACCCTTTACAAAGAAACCCATGTGGAAATATTGTACAAAAAATATTCAAATAATACGCCAACAAAGTATTATCCAAATCAACGATGTAAATTACTGTGCCCAATTCGTGTAATTTTCTATTGAGAGCTGTGATCTTGCAAATGACCCCAACAAAACGCGACTAATATTCTCACAGTGATGAACAATACTACCGAACGCTTGACATAAAATAACTGCAGGTTTAGAGCGACATACTTATATTCTCGAGTAAAATTGAGCATCCTGAAGTAACGTTATCTGCGTTATTTGAACCTCACACCACAAACCATAACTGATTCAGTTTTACGGATACAATTGAAAGTAGCAAAACTCTAGTAAAAATGTGGCTTCAAAACTTCATATGGAGCATATAGTACTGACTATAGACGAAACCACTGAAAAGGCATAGTATCTGTCATATGAAAACATGATTCATTAATTTTATTTTGGGCGATTTTGAAGTTGATGAAAAATAGAGAGGATCCATTATTGACATCTTTTTTGAACAGCATGTAACGACAATTTTGTACCTATTCAACCAAAAAGGAGCTTCGTCGCTAAACAAAATCTCGTTATCTCGTTTAGCGCCCATTTACCGAACGTCCGCCGCGCTTGATGGTGATGTATGGCGTCTCTGAGGACGCGCATTATTCACTAGAGTAAACGTAGAGCAAAAGCGATCTATAATTGCTCTAATTTCCGACTCTATCGACAACCGAACAAAAAAAAAACGTTAGTATTATAATTTTAAGCGTGTGCCACCTTGAAATTGTTAACCTTATTAGATTACACTTTAATGAACCAATGATCTACATATCTACTACGGTATAACAAACGAATGGAAGAAATTGATGATTCCGGTGGTTTCCAATGTAAAAGGGCTAATAGCGTTTATACGAAGCAAATTTAGGAAAAGTTCGGTTAGATTTTGAATACGGATTAAATGAAAAAATTAAAGAAATATTTCGAAAAATAAATTAAGTAAAAGGGTAATGGGTCTTCGAAGGTTAAGACTTTCCGGTCAATTGATGTGAGGCTGAAGTTTTTCTCAAAAATTCCCTTTTTTCAATTATGAATGAGAATATTGTTATGGATTCTTCAAGCACTATTAATACAAAAATATTAAAAAAAAAAAACATCTTTCGCGTAAGTGCATTTCCCACTGGGCAACTGTCAGTCACCAGAACCCAGACACTCACTCACCTGTGCATTTTTATCCTCAAGCTCCATCAGTTTATTTGTCATGCGATACAAAACTTTGGCCAACAATTTCTCCTCTTCCGCGTGATAACGTTGTGGCAGCGCATCTGAAAAATCACCGTTACTATGCAACGACAACGACGATGCTGCTGTTGTGACTTCTGTGGCAGTTGTAGTCGCGAGCAATGTTGGCGCTGACGTGGCTCTGAATAAATTACGTAACGGCAATGGCAGACCGCTAAACAGACGATAGTCGAAAAAGTCCCAGAGCAAATTGAAATTAGTCTCATAGGTGGCCGGCGAGACCGATTTGTCGTCAGCAGACGTAGCAGCGCCAACCGCAGGGCAAGCAGCAACATCAAAACCAAAACCGAAAGGCGCAACGCCCGAGTATTCAATTTTATTCGACGAGGTGAGTATTTGGTGGTTGGAATATAGTTGTTGTTGTTGTTGTTGCTGTTGCTTGCGTTTTGCATTTTGTATGATGAAGCGGCACAGACAAAGAGCGGCATTTTCTCTGACACGAAAATCATCGTTGCTGATCAATTGCAAAAGTTCATCCAAAAATTGGGACTGCAAAGAGATATAGAAAAAGAAGTGATGAGAATAAAAAAATAACGGAGTGCAGATAAATAATATGGTAGAAAAGTAGAGCAGAAGCGCGGTAAGAAATCAATATGAACACACGATGAAGAAATATATAATGGCAGAAGATTAACTTTTTGAAAATGAAGAGTGGGCGTCTTGGGAGCTCATGGAGGTCTGCGAATGGCAACTTAATCACTGTGTTTCCGTCTTGACGCCATTGTAGGCGTCAAAAAAAGGCCAAGTAGAAGGCGAAAGTCACTTCATTTAATGAGAACACGTACAGCGTACATACACACGCATACATACATACAAATGTATATAGTAATATAAATATATATTTTCGTATGTGTGTGTATGTATGAATGTACAAGTATATGCCTGTGTGTGTAGTGTGCAAATTGAAAAACAAGTAAATGTGGAAAATGAAAACTTTTAGTAAAGCGACCTAAAACGTCTTCCGCTTTCCCCTCCTCCACCCGCAACAGAAAAAGTGCGCTCAAATGAAGCACAAACGCAGAAAAACGAGGCGAATGCACACGAAAATCAGGTTGCGACTGACATGAATACATTGCGTGCGCGCGATGTCCTTGTAGACGAAACACACACACACATTCACATATGCAATGTTAATATATATATATATATATATATATATATATGGTGTATATGTATGTGTTGCGTATGTGTGCGCGAGAATGTAATGCGTTCTTCAGGTGAACTGATAACTCATGAGCAGAGACAACTTGGGGTTCAAAAAAAAGAATGAATGAAAAAAAGAACAGAAAATGGCAAAGGCCTTGCGAGATTGCGAAGGCATACTTAAGTACAAAAATACCCCACATATACATACATCTAAACATAAGTACATATATGTCGCTTGTAAATAGTTCCTTAATATACAAGTATTTGACAGAATATGTTGAAGAAAGTGTTAAAAGCAGCAGCACCCTATAAAGAATTGCCTTAAATGCTTATCTTATTTAGAATTTAAAATTTTTTTCTTGTTGTGCTCACTTTTAAAGCGCTAGGAAAATTTTTTTACGGTAGAAATTGTTCTTAATTATGAAGGTGTTAAGACAGTCTAGGATTTAAAAAAAAAAAACGATTTTTTAGCTTAAAAAAGAGTTTAGAATCCTATAACCTCTATCTAATATAGAATAAAAAAACATTTCCCTACACAATACGATGCAAACTCGAAACGTTCGGATCAGACGATTTCAGCACGGATGACGATTAAAAGAGCTCATCGCACGTATCCACTAGAGATTTTAACTGTAACTTTTAGTAAACTATATATTATTATTTTTGTTATTAATGCAACTTTGTTATTGAAAACAATTATTGATTATCTTGCGATAAAAACATTTTAACTTTTTTATAAATTCACCATTTTGCGACATATTGATCGAAATCAACCGTACATTATTTACTAGCAAGTCTATTGTATATAATGTTTCAGCTTTTCACTTTATTTGAGTTAGCACAAGTACCTAAACTCAGAATCGTCCCTAGAAACACTTTTTGAAAATGGTGATGCCGAAGATTGGCCCAAGGAGGAAAGGTATAACCTATATATATATATATATATATATTTTAAACAATTTAGAAGGATTTAAGCCAGGGAACACTTTTAGTTGTTGGCAAAATTTTATCTTAAACTAGGAAGAGTATTGACCACATTTCATCCATTTTAGACAAGCGGATGCACTGTTCTTAGCAAGAGATTATTTCTGAATTTCATTATGATTATTACATATTTACCGATGGATGCAGTATAAAGTTAACCGGAAGTTCGAATATAAATTCCATATATCAGATATATGGGGGCTAAAGTAAGAAAACATATTTAGCAAGTTTCATCAAAATATCACAATTTTTACTCATGTTATCGCTTGCACAGATAGACAGTCACATATCGCCTCGCCATCCTAATCATCTATGTATATATAACTCTATACCTATCTCGATTAGTTGTAGGTGATACCAAAAACCGTTAGGTGAACATACTCTGTCAACATGTTGCGAGCGTATAACATTTTTTTTTAAAAGCCTAAAAAACCGAAATTCAAATCCATTTTCCTAGACTACCGAATAAGTTCGCAAAACTAGGCCTCTTTAAAACTCTGACCTAATACCTTAACGAAGAAAAATCTTTTAATTTGTCTATCAAAAATACTCACTGAGTAGATTTTGTTATTGTTGACAACTGGTTTTAATGTTAAATAGAAAAAGAAAATTTGTATAGCATCAAAAAAACTTTTTTATTAACTAGAATATTTAAGTTTCAAACATTTTGATAGCCCATTACAGCATTTTGAAATTATTGACGACTTCAAACGATTTTTAATTGACAAGTTCTTGGAAATATTGACAATGTTCTGCCTTAAATAAAAAAAATTCAGAAGAAATTAAATTTAATTAGCAATTTAAAGAGGCATAAATTATTTAATTTTCGCTTTATTTAAAAAACATGTGTACTCACGAAAACTGCCAAATTTATGTTCAACTCTTTGTTAGGCATTCTATTAGTTTACATCTAAACGACGATCTTGGATCTTATCATTTTTTTTTTTCGATTATTAATCGAAAATATATAAACCGACGGTTAGTTTTATTTGTGGTTAGTTTAAAAAATGAAATGCCTAATGAAACCAAACCCAGTAACAAAAACATTCCTTAAAAAACTTTTATTAAAGTAAAATATAACTAAAGTCAACTTTAACTGAGCTAAAATATAACTAAAGAAAATTATAACTAAGCACAACAAAAAGATTCTAAAAAAAAAAATTGTTTTAACTAAAGTACACTTTACCTAAATTAAACTTTAAGTAAAGTAAACTATAAGTGAAGTAAACTATAAGCAAAGTAAACTAAGGTAAAGTAGACTATAAAATTATTTATGTATTGTATTTAAAAATCGGTTTTAAATTAAAGATTAACTTTGATTTATTCTTGTTATTCCCGCAATAGTTATAATAAAAACCAAGCCTGCTGGGTAAAAACTCAATATACCCAGCAAGGCGCTCATTAGAAATGCAAGTAAGTGAACTTCAAACTAATTTTTCTGATTTATGCGATCACATAGAAAACTATTTTAATTAAGTCCTAACTACACTTTAAATGCTTTATGTATGGCAGTCATGCAGATTGCTGCACCAGCAACTAGTCCGTGTTTGTGCCTCAGCGCGTTTACTGCGCCATTTCAAGTGCCACGTGATGGCGGCGGTAGCGACGGCGATAACGCCATCGCCCATAGTGAAGGCCTGGAATGAGCTTAGACTGCGAAGATGTGCTGACCACGTCCCGCGTGTCGCGCATGCAGTGAATCGTTTGCGTGCTCACGCGAATTTTCGCTTTTTAATCCCTACAACGCTTTGTGCTCCAGTTAACAGTTACTGCCTTCCTCTGACCGCATACGCCGCGTGCGCGTTGCCTGTCTAGCCGAAGATTTGGATTCGTACACTAATTTGCGCATTCACTTTTTACGCGCTCTCACTCAATTTGTGGTCTAATAATTATTTTCAACCAAATCTTTTCACACCCCTCGCCTTATAGCCGAATCCGCGCGACTGGTCAATGCAACAAGTGCACCAACTGCTGGAGTTGGGCGGCGCAACCTTTTTGAATTTCCTAATTACGGAGAATTTCGAATTAATCAGCGATTTGTGTGAAATGGCCGCCGCGCAGACAGCCGCGCAGACAGCCGCGCAAGCGACGCGCGAAGCCGCTGTCGAGTTGGACGCATTATGGTTGAATGCGCTGCTGCAACATGCCAGCGCGCTCAACAAGGTATGTATGCTAAACATTTTATGTTTTAATTTTGTTCTGGTTTGCATTTTATTTATTATTTTTATTTTCAATATTATCCTTGTCCATCATTTTTAATGATTTTTTTCTGTTCTTTCTTGACACAGCATTCGATCCGCGCGCTTCCGCCTCTACTACTGCGCTTATGCAACGCCACAAGGACCTCCGTTACCGGTTGTAATCTCCAAATAGCTCTACTTAGTTACAATTATTGCAGCGCTTACACACGCAACAACAATGCGCGCGCTTTGCAAGTGCGTTTGGAGCGTTTAGCGCGCCGCCTTGTATTAAGCTGCAGCGCGGCGCCACTACAGCGTCAGCAGTTATTGCAGCAATTGACAGAATTGGCTGGGGCTCGCATAACGGCCACTGGCAGGCAGCTCATCAACGACGTTGTAAGTTCCGCAGCGCGGAGTGCATTTAATAAAATTGAAATATAGAAACTTGAGTGCCAGTAATCACTCACTGTTCTTTTCTTTCCCAATTCAATGATTTGCTGACGTGTTTTTATATATAGTTTTTAGTCTTTTAATTTTCTGTATTTTCCTATTACTTTTTCATATTTCTTACTTACCAGCGTTTGTTCTTCTCTTTCGCATGCTTCACCGTTATTAAGCAGCTGGCAGCAGTTGTTGTTGGACACTCAAGAATGCAAACTGGCTGCTCAACCATTAGCATCGCTGGCGAAGGAGCAACAGCTTCAGCAGCGCATAATTGACGAGAAGTGGCTGTTGAGCCAGGTGAGTTTATCGCTAGCATGCTTGAGCGCTACTTGTACGCTTCCGCTTTGTTGCCCACTACCCATCAGGCACTTCGGTCTATCCAGCGCTCAAGCAGTGATGAGTTGAAATCATTCACTTGTCATGCTTGTGTCCACCGCTTCTTGCTGTTGCCTTGGAATAATTGTTCGCCATTAGTTGCATGCACTTATTTATGATTTTTTTTTATAAATATTTTTTTTTTGTAATTTTTTAATATTTGTATTGTTTATCTTATTTTTAGTATTTACTGTTTTTTTTCCATTTTTCCATTTTCCTGAAGTGCTTTCCGTTTGCATTTGCGCATGTATTGTATTTCCTTTTAGTCGTATCCATAGTTATTTGCCCTTTCTTTTATACAGTGGAGTGTTTTATTAGTAGCTCTTAGTGCTCGTTTTGTTGTTGTAATGCCAGTATGGCATTTCATTTGCATATTCGAGTTCAATCACGTTTCGCATTTATTTTAACAAGTTGTTGTTTTACTTGTGCTTTTTCTTCAATAAATTCGCTAAAAATATTATTCGAAACAAAAATGTGCGCTGGCAACCTGCGTTGGCATGTAATTACCAAGGTGCTTAAGTAAATTGCTGATTCAATATTTTATGCCACTAATTCCGTGTTTGTGCATTTAAAAATGCAATTCCCCAATTCAGATAAACGAATTTTTCAAATCAAGCACTCGACGCATACAAAGTGCTTACCGTTTTAATCATAATTTTACAATTTGCATACAAAAAACAAAAAAAAATTTTAAATTAATAAAAGCACTTCACTCATATTTCGTTTTTTCAATGCTGCCATACTTTAATTAAGTTTTCTAAAATCGTTTTATGTTACGCTGTTTTTTTGTATATTTTAAATTTTGTTTTTCAATTAAGTTTTGTTATTGCGGTGGCAAGCATGTGTTCATGAAACTCATGGTTTTAACTTATTTTGGGTTTACGTGTTTAGTGTTTTATGGTTATCAACTTGCAAGTGTTAAATCGTTAAACAATGTGTTTTCAATATAATTGTAGATTTTAGATTTAAGGCTTCTACGTTTTAGGATTTACAAAAACAAAAAGAAAAAAAAAATTGTAAACTTCAGTTGCACCGATTGCTGGAAAAACAAAGCTATTTTTCGAATTTGATCGTTCAGTTTCTATGACAGCTATATGATTGACATAGTGATTCGATGTAGGTAAATCTGACAAAAAAACGGTTCTTTAGCAGAAAAGGGCGTGTGAAAAA